ACCCCCACCCCCAAAAGATTTAGTAATTCCCAGTACCTGGTAGATGATGTGCTGCAGACATGGTGTAACAGAATTTATCTGGCAGAATGAGAATCTTATCCAGTCCTGGGATGTAGGATACCTGGAAGAACAGAGATTTTGTAATGTAATGGACCAAAGAACAACAGATAGATTGGAATTGATATGAAAATCACAGCAAAGTAAACATGGGTCTTTTACGGCCGCCTTACACAGGGTTATAAAGTGAAGACACACTGGGCCTACAGTTTTAAGTCCATGTCCGAGAAGACTTGAAGGTCTAACCATTTTCAGACTGTTGTAATTACAAAGGCAGGCCACCTTCTCCTCAGGTTTTTAAGACCCTGAGTATTGGTCTGGCTGTGGCTTGAACCACAACCTTCCCACAATTTGCAACAGACCGACGCTCTTACCAACTGAGGTAACTGGGTGGCGGTTATAAAAGTAGCCATACCATTAAAAAAAGAATAAAAGTTTATTCATTTATTTACCTTTTGGTGTAGCTTTAGTTTTGTTAAAGATTTTTTGTTTAAACAAGGGTGACTTCCAGACTGTCTTTGTGAATAGCACATTATGCCACTCCAACTACTGCTTATCATGGAATCTTCATCATTATAAGAGTAAAACAAAAAAAACAAAAAACATCAACAGTGACAGAAGAATTTAAAAAAAATTAACATGGCATACCCCAGTAGACCCTTGGACATGGTGTTTCCCCCATTCCAGAGCACGTCATTCTCTTGAGAATAAGATTCTTTGTTTGAGTCATATCCATATTTATGTGTTTTCTCATGCACAACCATTAAGGAGGCTGGAAAGTGTTTTGTGCCTTCACATACACTCCCAATTATGAACTGAAAAAAATTAATATGACTATAATATGACAGCAAGTAAACCAGGAAAGCCAAAGACTATAAACCAAAGATCACAATGAACATGAAAAAATGACGTAAGATGTTGCCATGACAACATCACAACTCTTAGTATGCCATCAAATATGTTTATTTAAAAAATCATAACTCAGGAACCAAATGGTGAAATTTTTTAAAAACCACAATATTTAATCTTTGTATCGTAATCTTCTTGACAAAAAAAGAAAAATGTCTGTAAAAGGGAATTCGTAAAAATCAATAACATTTGTTTGGAATAGTTCCCTTTTACAGAATTTTTTAAAATTTTCCTCAAGTTTTTGAAAACATAAACTAAAGCCATATGCAAAATCTGAAGAAATTTCACCAGAGAATTTTTGAGTTTTTTCAGTTTGAAAATTAAAATTTACTAGTACGAAAATTTTCCTTTTGCAAGTTCTACGTCATCAGACCTAGAGCGCGCACTCAAGAAAAACTGTTTCGAGCCTCCTTAAAAAAAAGAAATAATACTCCAGGAAATGACACTTTGTCTGGAATGAAGACAGCTTACATCCAGGCTAAAGACATGCACTTTTTTCAACCTCCCTTCTAAATGATGACCAGTCACTGTGACCAGATTCATTGATTCCATTCATTGATTCCATCTCCTCAACAGTTCAACAATACCTTCTGCATATAAACTTGTGAAAAGACCCCTAAATATACCATTTGTACAAATATACTAAAATAATATGTGGATCCATCTAACTCAAACCTAACAATGATGCAATAAATTTGATATATTTTTTGTTTTTGTGAATCAAAAGAGATATATTTTTAATTTGCAAAGGGTTAATTACCTGGACCATCTTCAGATAAGTTGGACACCACTTTAACTTTATACCCTTGTTTCTCTAGACTTAATCCATACAAAGAATCTTTTGATCTCAAAACATTTTCAGGATCGTGGAAAATTATCATAGATACTGCATGGCTTTGATTAAGTCTTGCTTCAAGCTGGAAAGAAAACACAAAATACATGAAAAAATACAAAATATTTGGGCGCATCTATAAAATATAACACACAAAATATACAATAAAATTTGTTAAAAATTATGTTTTAAAAAATGATACAAATTTCCATTGTAGTTATTTCTAGAAGATTTTATACATTTTATATATCATATTCATGCATTGGGTTTCAAATTTTTGTTAGCAGTTATTATGTCATTCAAGTTGACATGTTTTAATTAATTGTATAAACATTCTCTCTTATCAAGTCCAAAGCATGTTACCTTGCAAACTACAATGGCCCTAATTTGACCTTTGTCAGAGAGTCAATTTAGTTGTGATATCCACTTATTGTATTATGTCCTGATATGTCTGTTGTTCTTTGTAGTGTTTCCAAAGAGCAATTTAGAAAATTTACCAGACAACCTAATTAAGTGTTGGAAAACCTTTTAACTGACCAAAAATTAAGTTGAGATTATTTGCACTTGAGATTGGAAAACTGAACAGTTCCTTTATCAAGATACAATCACCAATAATTTTAGGRAAAAAAATTAAACTTGAAATTATGATTTGTATGAAAGTTAGAAAAGAATTTATGGAAAAGATGTTAATTTAGCATTTTTCTATCATACATTTTTAATACTCTATTTTACAGTTGCGTTCAGTGACCACGAATACGCTGTAATTGATGGGTTGCAAGCATTCCCAAGAGTTAAAAGACAAAAACATGGTGGCCATTGTGGTAAAGTAAACAATGGATGCTAATGAGAAATCTTTTGTTAAATGGTACCAACATGGCTGCAATGACGTAATGTGCAAACAAAGAATAGTTCCTAGCCGAGGTTGAAGTTGCAGCACATGATAAACTGTAGTTTTGCTATGCGCAGAAACTCCAACCTCTACATGAAACTATTATCCTTGGTCACCGAACGGAACTGTAAATTGGGAGTATTGAAGCTCTAAGATCAATGAGAAAAAGTGGAAGGGATTCGTAATTATTTTGATTTTATCATTTTGTCAGGTTAAAAATTAATTTCACACGCAAAATGCATCATAATAAATAAATTTTGCAAAATAAAGTGAAAGCTCAAAATATCCATTTTGAAATCATAAAATAGTTTCGTAAAACCTGATAATATGATGTAGTTTAGCGATATATTTAGCAGTTTAACTCCATCAGCTTTGCCATTGCGTGATTCAATCACTTAAATACTAAACCCTTTTAAAATATCCGACTCTTGAGGAAAATTCTGTGAAACTCAATCATTTATATCTTTTTATTTTTAGAGTTGGAGAAAAAATGATATATTTGAGTTTAACTTATAAAAATTCTATTTAAAAAAATATGAGGCTTTTACTGGTCCTGCAGCGTATAGCAGAGGTGCTACAATAACATCTAGACAGCTTTGAACCCTATTAACTACACGTAAATCTCGTATCAAGTTAATCTGGTGGGAAAATATAAACTTGTTTTTTTTTATAGTCATATATTAAGTTTTACCTGTGAAAGTTTCTGGAGTAACCGGGTTGGAGCGCCACGTGTAGTAGCGTGTGTAACAGCAGACTTTGTCGTGGTTGTGCCTCTATTTTTGTGGCTTGAAATCTTGCCTTTCTTCAAAGCTGAAACTTCGTCTCTCTGAGTCAATGACTCCAAAGACGGTTGACTAAACTGTTTCTTTTTAGTAGCATGAAGTTTATAATTCCAATATAGGGATACTAATACCAAAATTACAACTAGAATCCCTAAAGTTCTGCGAACTAAATAGACAGTGGACATCCTCATCCTCATCACAGCATTCTCGTCTCTCCAAGAAAACACAAACACATGTAAAAACCGCTCGGTAAATGTCGAGTTGACGAGCCTCAATTTTTATACGTAGATAGAAGTATCATCATATATATCCATATGTACCGTTATATTAGTGGAAGTAGTGTAAGAGCAGTCTTTGGTCAACAAACAAGAGTGTTGACAAAGGTTGTCTTGACAGACGAAGGACAATGTCCAGAAACGTTGATCAAAAATTCCCATTATCTCTGAGTAGATTTGGCGATATTGCGATGGTTTACTTCAAACACGGTGGCCGCTATTTGTTTGTATTATTTCCCTGAGGTCAGAAGGCTATCTAGCATTCAACACAAACATCTTGATAATAATATTGAGGCTCTGCAAGGTTCCATCATGGCCGCTCTACATACGTGACATCTCAGTACTGTATATCTTGTTGCGTGAAACTTCGTGACAAAACAGCAAACCACAGTCAGCCCATCTCTCGAATCTTGCTCGCAAACGCCAATCTTACCTCCGAGCGGGCTTAATGAGAGACCTGGGAAAGAGTGTCTATCAAACCAAAATACTTGAAAAGATGGAAATATTTCATCATCACAAATCGATCGCCTGAATGGAACCCTTCCGCACATGTCAAAGACAGTTTAGTGGAAGACGCGATTGAACAAGGAATTGGATGTAGTAAAAGGTCCTAACACACAGGGGCCACGGAGCACCATAAAAAGTGGGGAGTGTGTGTGTGTGTGTGTG